TGCGTCGGGGGCTGCCCTGCCCCCACCCCCTGGGCGTTTCCCCAGGTGCTCAGACTGGGCCCTGGGGGCCGCGTGTATCTGGGGGTGTTGTGCCGTGTCTGGGTGTGTCCCTCGGTGCGCCAGTTTCTGGTTGTCCTAGAGGATAGTTGCCTGTCCGTGCGCATTGGCCTCCTTAATTTCTGGACGTATGTGGTTCTGAGTGTGACTGCTGCCGCATAAGGAAGCGTACCTGTGGCTTTGTACATCTGTCTGTTCTGAACCCGTGTGCCTAAAGCGGTGTGTGTGTGTGTGTGTGTGTGTGTGTGTGTGTTGCCCACGGCCCTGGGTTCTTGGGAGGAATGCTCAGTGTCTGTGGCAGCAGAGCGTGTGTGCCTAGCTGAGGATTTGTCCGTGTGGGTAAGCCCTTGTGTCTGCCTGTGTTCCTCCTCTCTGGCATAATGTGTGTTTCTGGGCGCAGCTGCATGTTGAATTGTGTACCTGTGCGGATGTCCCTGCGGATTCCCCAAGAACCCAGCTCGCCATGTTTGTCATTGTTGTTCCTGTGAACGCCTTGAGTGTGTGTCCTGAAGTGTGGCTGTGTGTCCAGGGGCTGTTGGCTCTGTGCCCTCCTCAGCTTCGCTCCCTGCTGCCTGAGTGAGCCGACACCTGCTCCCTGAGCACTGGGCCCCCTCCCCCAACCTGGCAAGGACAAGGAAGGACGCGGAGAAAAAGGCAGATATGGAGGCAGAGACATGGAGACTTAGAGGGAGACACAGAGAGCCAAGTAGGCTGGGGAGGTGGTGACCCAGAGTCATGTGATCAGCTTCAGAGCCCAAGACCCAGAGTTGAGAAACAGATGCCAAGATTATCCGGACTTTAGAGAGAGGGAGACCCGGAGTCACACAGAGGCCCAGGGCACCAAGTCCGGAACTGCTAAAACAGACCAGAGATCAAGGATGTGGCTCCCCAGCGTCCCTCCCTCCCGCCCTCCGCGTCGTCCCTCCCACTCCAGAGTTTCCAGCGCCAGTGGTGCCTCCCCCACATACCCAGCGCTGAGCTCTGGCCCTGGGAGTCTGTAGCCCAGTCTCCTCCTGGCAACGGGCGCCTTCTGTGTGCTGTTGGTTTGGGCTGGTGCGGAGCTCGCCAGAGCCCTCCCACCTCCCCGTCTTCCTCCACCGCTGCTGTCCACATCTTCATGGGACCAGGACACGCACCTCCTTACACACAGGCCAGAGTCACACGTGTTCAAGCACACGATGGGTCTCCTCTCTCTACCAGCTCTGCACGCAGGGCCAGAAGAGCCACCCAGCCAGTCTCCCCTTCCTTCGGGAGCGCTCCCAGAACCTCCACCCCTCAACAGCCAACCCATGGGGAAAGGCGCGGTTCCATCCAAACCTGTCAGTAACATCAGAGGATACAGCAAAGGCAGGGACCCCATTTGTCTTGCTCACTCTCGTATCCTCAAATGTCTGCAACCTTGTAGGCGCTTAAGAAGTACTTGAACGCAGTCACACAGGGTTTCTAAAGCCACTAGGAGAACCCACAGCCAGTCGGAACGAGGAACACGTTCTGCCGCGGTGCAATTGCAGAAGGCGTCTGTGCACACTGAGGACAACATTCAATGCAGGTGTGTGCACTTGGGTGCCGGGTTCCAGGCCAGGAGCTGGTTAGAGCCTCTTGAGCTGCACATTAGCACCACCTGGGGAGCTTTTAAATTTCCTCCTCCCCCAGCCTCACCCTAGAATCTCTGGACTGAGAACTACTGATCTAGGGGAAAGGACTTAACACACTGATACAGGGGTTATTACCAGGGCTGAGGGTGGAGGGGGCTTTCACTTTGAACAGTTTAGTAAAGCTGACTCTGGAACCCGATTGCTTGGCTTTGAACCTTTACTCAGGGGTCTTTGTAAATGACCCATCTACCCTTGAGATCCTTATCTGTGAAAGGGGGGGGGTGTATAAACCTTATGACTAGCTTTGCAGGCTTGTTGTGGAGACCAGAAGAGTGACTATATATGTAAAGTGCTTATAACAATACCTGGCACATGGCGTTAAGCAACTCTTTTCTGTTCTTATTTTGATCATTTAAATTTTTTAATGTGACACAATCAACTCATTTTGGGATAAATCTTGATAGGCAGGATTTCCCCCTTTAAATTGTTAAGGGGAAGCAAGGGCTTAGACTCACACTTTGGGCCACCTCCCATGTGACCTTGGGCATCGCTTTGAACCAATCTTCTCAGCTGTAAATGAGTGATCTTTCTAGTTCGAGGACTATTTAAGGAATAACCCTCAGGGGAGTGTTTAATAAATGGTGGCAATACCCAAATATCTAGGAGCCTCATGGCTTGATGCTTTCTGGGATCAGGTATGAGAATGTGGCTGTAGCCAGGCCCTAACAGCCAAAAAGAACACATCAAAAATGGGGAATCCCATCCTTCCCCATCCACCTGGGCAGGGTCTCTGCTGCCCTCCCTAGATGCCCCAAGGTCCAAGGGCTCAGTGGACCTCCCACCCCAAAGACTGGGCCCTTGGCCCTGACAGATCTCTCATGAGTCTATTCTCCAAAGTACACCTCAAGTCTCCTTACCCCTTCCAGCGCCACAGAACCTGGGGTCCTTTCCCCTCTGGCTGATCCTTCCCTTCTCTTTTCAAGGAGCCTCAGTTCTCATCCCTCCCATGCTAGGACCACAAGTCCATCTCTGGGTTCCCATCCTTCCCTTCCCCTGCGCCCCTCTTTTCAGTGAGTCCACATCCCTCCTAAAAAGCCCACCAGTCAATGAGCCTCCTGGCTGGGCTATAATCACCTCCCTAAGCTTCCATTTCCTTCTTGGGTCTCCCTTTACCTCCTTCCCAATTCTTGGACCACACCCCTTCAAGGTCCAAGGGGGGATCCCTTGGTGTAGAACCCCAGTCCTGATCCCTTCCACTGAATAATCACCCCAATGGCCTCCTTCCTTCACTGAAACCTCCTCTGCTCCCCACCACCCCAGTCCTCCAGCCCCCTTGATCACTGCACCATCTGCTGGGCCTGCCCCACCTGGACAGTCTAGCACAGTCTCTGCTTCTTCAGCACCCTCTAATCCTCATTTCCTTCCTGGAGGGGACTCATGGGGCTGAAAATCAACACCTCCTGGTTTGACCCACTGGCTCTGGGATGTCACCCCTTCCCCCCTAATGAGTCTCCATCCCATCCGAGTGACCTTACTAGATAGAGCCCTAGCCTCTCCGCAAGCATGAGTGTCTACCACCTAATGATGACCTCAAACAGCAAGGCCTCCGGGCCAGCTTCTTCTTCCCCCAGACCTCCTTGTTTCTGCCTAGCACCGAGCATTGCCTCTTGGAATGCTTTCCCCTGTGGGAGCCTCCCAACCCCAACCCTCTCCCACTTTCCAGCACCGTGCCGGATTCTCAGCTCAAGCACCACAGGGCGGCATCAATGGCTGCCGCCTCACTGCAGGAGGGAGGGCCAGGGTCTCCTTCTGAGTCTTGGGTACACATGAAGCAGGCTTGCCAGGTGGGCGGGCCTTCTCGTCCAGTACAGAGGCTGGTTTAAGGACAGTCACCTGACCTCGTCTGAATCCTCCAGCCTCCTCTTTTAGACAGGGATGCCCAGAAAGTAGGGGTCTGTCTGCCCCCAGGACAGAGCGTTGATTCTCCAAAGGCGTGGGTCTTGACAGTTGGGTCAGGGAGGGACACAGAGAAGCCACACTTGGCAGGGCTTTGACCTAAAACGGGTCTCTGGGCAAAGCTGCTAGCTGAAGACCAGACAGCTCAAGGTGGACATTATGTGGGCAAAGGCAGCCAAGAACTCCCCAAGGTCAGGGAGTGAAACAGCTCAGCCCTCTCCGTCCACCAGAAATAGGCACAGGATTAAGAGTCTTTTTTTTTCAAAGTTTACAAAAGCTGGGAGGAAATACAGACCCAGCACTTGGGGTACAGTGTGGAAAAGGGAAGAGAAACACTGGGGTTACTGGCCCAGTCATTCCCCGGTGTTCGCACAGGCAGACACAGGTATGTTGAGGAACCAGGGGCTACCCTGGACTCCTTCCAGGAGGAGACCCAGGCCAAAGCGAACGGGAGGTACAAAAGGGGGGTACTATAATCCTGTGGGAAAGAGGGTTAGGGGTGTCCCACAGGGCTCTTGGACTTAAGATGGAGTCAGTATCTCAAGACAGGAGTCCCTGAATCAGAAGAGAATTGCTGGGCCCAAAGGCCAGGGACACACATAGGCTGACCTATAATGGGGGCTTCTCAGGGAAACCCCTATTTCCTAGGAGCAGAATAGGTGTTCTAGATACAGACACCTCTGCATTTTCAAAAGAAGATGGCCTATAGAAAGAGGGACTGGTACCTGGGGTAGAATAGGGGTGTCAGAGCCAGGAGACCTAGGACCAAGGGTAAAATGAAGATATAAGACACAGACTCTGGGGGCAGGAAGCCTTAGGGTACAGACTGGGGAGTCCAGAGGCCTGGCAAACACGGGCAAAGAGGGCATTCGGAGGGAGGGAACACATGCAGGTATTTCAACTCCTCTGGGAACTCGTGGCTGGTGACAGAATCCACCTGTCCCCTTCCCTTCCATCCACCCGCATCATCCCCCTTCACGAGACACAAGGAAAAAAAAATTTTTTTTTTTTTGCTTTTTTTCATTTCTTTTTAATACAAACTTGGATCTTTGGGTGTGTCCTGCCAACAGAAAACAACAACAACAACAGAAGAGAAAACCCAAAAGAGTGAAAAATAAGAAAAGAAAAGAAAAAAAAGCTCCCGCAAGAGGTTCTTCTCCCTCCCCCCCACCATGCGAATTTGCACACCACGGGACCACAGCAGGTTTACAGAATGCAATATACAATCCACGATTTATAATAAAACAGTATATACAATAAATAGGATATTGTTCATTTTTGTCAAACGACCTGTAGATAAATTTCTCAGTGCATACTTGCAGGGGCTCTGGACACCTCGGGGGCCCCGCTCGCAACCTCTTGCACACACGCTCTCTCTCTCTTTTTTTTGTCTTTTTCTAAAACTGTGTTTTGTTTTTAAGTTTTATACATTTTTAAAAAGTATTTACAATTGCTGGTTTTGTGCAGAAAGGGCTCACCTTCGGCTTCTGCGTGGAGGAGATGGGCGGGGAGGGGGAGGGGGAAGACGGACTGCAGGGATGCAGGTGGGGTGGGGCTGGAGGCAGAGGGGCAGGCGCTCCTGCCAGAAGACGCTGTGGACGCTGGGAGGGGTCTTGGCGTTGGTTTTCTGAAAGCTGCAAAGAAACAGAAGAGGCAGAAGTCAGTGGCAGGCACGGACAGTGGAGACTCGGGTGGGCAGGGCGCTCAGGATGGACTCCCGTCCAGTTCCTGCTGCGGGCTGGGAGCAGATTCGGGTGGGCAGGGCACTCAGGATGGACTCCCATCCAGTTCCTGCTGCGGGCTGGGAGCAGAGACGTCACCCAGAAAACTCCAAGCGGCCCCATCACGGACCACTTCTGGCCGTCTCTGAGCTGTTTTCCACCTGGGAACTAGCTGTGTGCCCAAGACCCACACTGCAATGGACGGGAAGCAGGGAAGTTTGTGCAGAACTTGGGCTCCCAAGTGAAGACACAGCTAGCTCTATAACCTTGGGCAAGCCTCAATCCGCGGACAACGGGTAACAGACTATCTCAGGTTTGCTGGGAGGATGCAAGATCCAGGGCAGATCAAGCCTGCATATAGATGCGGTGTATCAACTACTCTGTTATTTCCTGGGGCCTGGCCAGCTGGGCTCTCCCAGCCTCAGTTTCCTCGAGTAACAGAGTCTAAGAATTCCTCCAACCTAGGCTGTTCCGAGGAAAGGCATGTGGGGAAATAGGGCCCCAGCGCAGCACCGGTGGTAAGTGTCGCTTTCTTCGGAATCCACCCTCCTCCCTGTCCTCATCAACCCACTCTGGTCCTTTGGTGTGGTGATGAGGAAGCCTGTCTGAATAAAGGAGTAAGGAACCTGCCTAACACAGTATCAGGTTTGGCTGCCTTCCTGAACCGCCCCCCGCAAGTCTTCAATCAGCAGAAACTGGAGTCTAAAGAACCCCTTTCTCTGGACAGTCCTAATTTGTGGGGGTCTGATTTCCTATCCAGATCTTTTTACTGGGGCGAGCAGGAAGGTGCCCAAAGGGGCAGGGGTGGACTCGGCCATTCTCCAGGCCTTGGCCTGGCCCTTTGGCGTTCGGCCCGTCCCCTCAGAGCTCTGAAGTTCGAGTCTCCCACAGTGCACACGATGAGTGCACATCCCACAGAATTGAAGGTCAGGGTCATGGGTGCTAAAACCACCTCCTAAGAAGCCCCAGCAAACCCGAGCCCTCCCCCATCCTCCACAGGAGCCGGGAGGCAGCAGCAAGCAGCTCCTCCTCATCCTTTCTTGGCTTCCCTGCCCAACTGGGCCACATTGAAATTCTGCTCAGCCTCGGCTGCTGTCTGCCGGGCAGTCAGCCCCAGGGAAGACTTTTGTCCTGCGGCTGGACTTGCCAGGACTCCCCCAAGGGCCAGGGAACCAGGTGGGCGCCTGCCAAGCGGAGGCAGCCCCCCATCAGTTATCAGAGTGGGTGGCAGCAGAAGCATGTGGAGGGCAGGGGCTGTACCCTTGTTAAGCTGTCGGGTCTCCTGCAGGCGGGGAAGGATGGGGTGTTAGCTGCAGGGGTGAGAGGTGTGCCTGTTGGGGTGACAGCTGTGTCACTACTGGGGTAACTGGGAGACAAGCAGCTTTTGTGGGGGGTGCTGTGGGGATGGATGTCAGCTCTCTCTAGTTAGAGAAACGGGAACAGCTGTAGAGAAGAGGGCTATCCATGAGGGCTGGGGGTATCTATCTGTAGGGCAGTTGCCGAGCTCAGGAACCTCTGCTGGGCTGATGAGTGAGGTGACTGGGGAGGCTGTTCCAAGGCACTTAACAGGCCATGGGACCGAACCCCCAGCCTCCCCTAAGTCCCCTAAGGGCCCTGGGCCGGCTGGGAGCCTCTGCACAAATCCCTGTCGCCCCGCCCCTCCAGCCCCTCCAGCCCCTCGCCACTGCCAGTGACCCTCTCCAAGCCAGGTCTCCATGGTGATCTCAGCCCAGCAGGCAGATCCTGCCAGAACCATTCCCGTGGCCAGGCAGCGGGGCGGCTTTCTCAGTCTCTGCTAAGCCAGCCGTCTCACCTTCCTCCTCCCACAGGCCTTCCCGGCTTTCATGACTTGGCCAGAACTGGGGGTTGGTGGGGGTGGGGGAGACCAACATGGGGGTTCTTGAGCTCAGCAGAAGGGGTAATGATGCGCCATGTGGGACCCTGTCCTCACTAGGTTCACTCGCCACAAAATAGAACAGACCAGTGCTGTGGTGGCAGGCGGCCCGGTGCTGGCTGGACACCGGAGACAAAGCAGACAGCAGGGCAGAGCTGGTCCCACCCTCGAGGGTCGCACAGAACCAGAGAGGGAAGCAGAGCAGACCCCACACCAGGCAGTGACAATGCAAGGAGCTGGGGACGGTGCCAAGGAAAGCCCAGACCTGCAAGGGGGCACCTAGGCACCTTGGCAGGAGGGACTGAGGCTCTTCAACCCAGGGCCGAGCACCGCGCCCAGCGCATGCTGGGGTCAGGACCGTGCGCCGGGCGAAGGGACCGGCCTAAGTCCGAGCAGCGTGTCAAGGTCCAGCTCAGGTCTTGCACAGCTCCCGGATGTCTCCTTAGCCCACCGGGTTACCATAGCGACCGATGCACTTGTCATTCCCTTCCACACTCCTCCAGGGCAGAGACCTGTGTGTGGTACCTCTGTATCCCCAATGCCAGCATGCGCCTGGCGCTCCAGGACACCGGCCAGTGTTCCCGAGATTTAACCTTTTAGCGGCTCCATAATGAAGGACTGCAAAGCCAGTCTGCGAGCCCTCTGCCCCAGCAGCTTCACATCTGAGGGACCAGGGCACTAAGTGGTCTCTGGAAGCAGGCACTGGGGGAGCCAAGGGGTAGCTGAGCAGGGATTCAAAGTGCTGCGGACCTGAGCATTCACCTCAGGTCCCCAGCACATGAGGCGGAGGGGCCGAATGCACCAGAATGGGGCTGACTTGCTGGGTGATACAGGGCGCGTCCTCTCCCTCTGTGGGCTTCAAGTGTCTATGTCAAGTGTGGGCACTGACCAGTTTAAAGGGAGACCTTCGAGCATGGATAGTGCCCCAAGACAAGGTCAGAGGCAAGCGCAGCTGCCTGTGGGCAGACCCAGCTCTTTGGACATTTCCAGACGAAGTCACACTGTGCATCTCTTCAATGTGGAGAGGACATGGTTGGTTGGCTCAGACCACACCTGACAGATGGAGATACGCTCAGGTAGGTAGAGCTGGAGATCATCGGGGGAAGAGGCTTCCCACCGGGGTTAGGGGGACTGTGGGCTGAAGGGGTGTGTGTGTGGCCTTCCCTCTGACTCCGGAGTTTCTCAAAACCCGTGTCCACCAGTGAACAGGAGTGTTCCTTAAATTCTAGTTCTGTCACTCAGACCTCCTCCCACCTCTCCTACTGCTGTGTAGAGGAGGATACTAGTCAGGGGCCTTTATAACCATGGTCACCCACCAACCTAGTGTATGCTCCCCCTCCAGTAAGGGCTCGCGTGCCTTACTTACCCTTCCTGAGAGGAGGCAATTACCTGTACCCCCCTGACTCCCCTCGCCCCTCAAAAACTCTCCAACCTACTGGCCGGAAACTCATTACTGAGGTGTGTGTTGGGGAAAAACAAAGGAAGGGGGTGATCCCTGAGGGGCCCTCCTGCCTGGGTGGCTGTGTCCTTGGGAGCTCCTGTCTGCCTGGAGAATGGGAGGGGCTGTGCTCGGAGAACTTCAGAAGCCCAGTTAGCCCTAGAGCTTGAAACGCAAGTCCCGCCACATTTCTAGGGGCCCAGTTTCAAGACAGTGGGGTGTGGGAGAAATGACCTCTTACCCAGCCCCCCAGGCTTAACCTTTCCTCCCAGTGCTCCCTAATCTACAAGCTCATCTTTGACTCAAGGGAAAAAACCAACCCTGACTCCTGAAATGTTCCAGGCGTGATGAGACACTGGGGAGGGAGACAGGGACAGCACACAGAGATGAGTAACCGGCCCAAAGGGGCTGACGGCCTGGTGAAGGGGACATTCCCAGGAAGGGCTGTCACGGATGCATAAAGGGCTAGAGATTAACTGGGCCTGGGAAGGATCCCGGAATGCTTCTTGGAGGAGGTGATGTCTGAGTGAAAGACAGAAACTGACAGGTGGGAGATGGATGGAGGGGAAGAGGGCAACCCAGGCCAAGGCACAGGGCACCCTGGGGAGAGAACTTCTCCCAGAAAGCTCCCTTCTGATTTCACAGTCTAAAGGAGGTCAGGGCTAAAGAGGAGGCCTGAGTACCCAGAATACCAGGCTAAGAAGCTGGGCCTTTGTTCTTTAGAAGGGAGAGTGCAAAAGGTGTTAGCTAGAGAAGTTTTAATCAGTTCACCCTGGAAGTATTGGGGGGCTTCCAGATGGCATGCAGGTAAGACACTGAAGAACAGCACTTTGGTGGCTGCCGTGAAGGATTCGGGAAGGGTGGGCAGGTTCTGGGGGTGCTGCAGTGAAGGGGGTGAGTTCAGGGAGGGATGGGAGCTGGGGTAGGCAGGTTCTGGGGCCGAGACTTGGCAGGGGCTGGTTGTGCTGACCAGGGCTAAGCTTCTGAAGCCTCAAATCTGTGTGAGACCCATCCCTGCCCCCAGGAAGCCTTCCGGTCCCTGCCCTGGAGAGGGATGCCCACACAGAGGCTCGTAAGGAACACCCCTTCACAGGCTGCAGACTGAGCAGGGTTGGACACTCCTCTTGCTCAGTGGCACCGTCAGCACCAAACGCAACACATGGCCCCGGCAGACGGCTGGTTCTTGTGTGGTGAACAGATTTAACTAGCACTTCCTCTGCCCTCCAGCACAAACAGAGGGCACCATGGCAGCAAAAGTTATGAGGACAAAGATGGAAAATCCGTAGGGATAGAGGGTGGGGTGGCGAGACCATGGCGTGTCACTAAGCACAAGGAAATCTTTTCAGATTCGATGTAGAAGGGAGTACAGACAGAAAGAGAACAGACTGGTGTGGACAGGGCTTCTAGCTGACCGGGGTCAGCAGACTTCCTTGGGGGCGAGGCTGGTGACTTACCTTATTTCTGGGCTCCCGAGGGAGGCCTCAGCCCAGTTGCTAAGGCAAAAAACTAGGTGGTATTTCACCCCACCAAAGACCCTGAGTCCACCCTGGAATACAAGGTCCTTTGTAGGACAGGAGCAGGGAGAGCGGGAAAGGAGGGCAGGCTCCGGAGTCCTGAGCAGGGAGCAAAGGTCAGCGGCCCCAAATGCAGTCTGTGGGGAGTCTGTGGGGGAGTCACCCCCCACTTATCACCCACTGCTCAGGTGCTCACTACGTGCTGGGACGAAGTGCTTCACAGCTAATCTCGTTTCATCCTCACAAGAGCACAGCGAGGTGACAGGACTCACCGGGCTGCAGCTGGTCAGGGTGGGCCAGGCTGTGCACAGCAGCCTGCGTACATCCAGACACACTCTAGCCACCACCCTCCATTTGCAGGGCCGTGCTGCCTGGGGTTCTTCCGGGTCCTCGTGGTTGTGGGGAGATGGGAGAGGAGGAGCATGAGAGGGCATGTTCACAGAGAGATTATATTTCCAGGAAACGAGGGCTTAGAACAAGAAGGCCTGGCCTAAAAATGGCTGTGGTAAAGGCAAGAGATAGAAGTGGAGGGAGGGTGGCCTCGGTGAATAGGAAGAGGAGCCCAGAAGAGGCAGGGCTGGCTGACCCTGATGGGAGGGCCTCCCGCTCAGAGCCAGGGGAAAGATCAAGTGACCTCTTGAGGTTTCAAGGCCCGGACAGACAAAGCCCAGAGCAGCCAGGACCTGGCCCAGGTCTGGACATGCCTGCTGATCCCGGCTGGATGGTGGCTTTGGAAACTGCTTCCTGCTCCGGTCAAGCCCCAGCTGGTGTAACCTTGGAGGACCTGTGACATTTCTCTTGGCCTCAGGTCCAGGCCTGAGGGGGAGCAGGGAGCAGAGGGGTACTAGAGATTCCTGAACACCTCAGAAGGCCCTTCCTACCCTCCCACCCGTCTCTAGGGCCTGGCAGTGCTGAGCTCTGGCCATGAATTTGCAAGGGGGAGCCAGTCTGTCTGGCTCTGCCGTCCATCTCAGAGAAGACGTCTGCCCAGGTGCAGGGGCCTCCCACTCCCACCCCTTCTCTCTCAGTCCCATCAGCCCCAGCACTCAAGCCAGCTGGGCCCCAACCCCCACTCCTGCTCCTCTTTCTTCTAATTCACATTGGGCTGTGACCCGCCCTCGTCCACAGCTCTCTGGGCCTGGAATGCCCTTCCCCCAACCTCCAAATCTTGCCTGTTCTTCAAGGTCAAGCTCAAAAGCAGCTTCTTCCACAGAACCTCAAAATCCACTTAATACATCAGACCCAGGAAGAGTTGCAGGGCACGTTTGTCTTGTGGATGGGGACTCGGGAGCGGGGGAGAGAGGGGGCTGTGGGCGAGTGCCGGCGGACAGTCTGGCTCTGTGCTGACTGACTGTGGGTCTCTGGACCCGGCTCACAGCAACACCTGTTTCCTCCCCCTCCCCCAGCTGCTGTGCAGGCCAGCGTGGAGTGTTGCCTGGCGTGTCCAGTACAAAGCACGTGTGTTCTCTCTTATCCCAGTAGCAGGGAGAAACCTTCGGACCCGACACCCACCTTCCTGGAGCACAAGCTTCATTCCTCCCTGCCCCTGGGCACCTGCCACCTTTGTTTTGGTGACTGCAGGTTCTCTGTGTACTTGTTTTAGGTTCCTGGGGTGGACGCCGACCTGCGAGGACAGGGGCCATGTCTGCTTTGTCTCTCCCATGCCTGGCACCGGCTGGGCACGGAGGGCTCATGGTGTGAGGCAGAGCTGAATACGGCTCCTCCCATGCCAGGCGTCAGAAGTGCTGTCTGCTGGTGAATGAGTGTGTCCCTGTTCTCTCTGCGACGGAGACACTCCCTCTGATGACTCTTTTTCCTTCCCTACAATCGCCACAGTCCTGGTACAGGAGGAGGGCCCACAAGGCCACCTTCCATCTTGGAGAAAGGGGGAAGGGCCCTCCCACCGCCTTGGCCAAAGCCGTCCCCACGGCAGCTGCCTGCACCGTGACCCTCGGCCGGCCAGCTGAGACCTGGTCAACGGCTCTCATGAGTTCCGGTCCAAGGCCCTGGGTGACCCGGTCCGGCGTGCCTCGTTCCCTCCCTTGGTGTTTTTGTTTTTCTGTCAGTTCCCCAGGGCCGAGCAGCTTCCTGCCTCACAGCCTTACCCACTGCTGTTCCCTCTGCCCAGAATGCTCTTCCCACCCCAGTCTGGCCGCCGCGCCCTCAGCCGTCAGGCACCAGCTGCAGGTTCTGCTGCAGGCTCTCTCGCCTGCTCATTTTCCTCTCTCACACTTCATCCTTTGGCTAAGAGCTTCCTGTCATTCTGCTTGTTGTCCTTCCCTCTAAACTGCAAGCCCCCTGAGGACAAAGACCTCACTGTGGTATTCACTGTGGTGCGGCCAAAGCCTGGCATGTAATGGGTGCTGGACAGATGTCTCTGGAACAACTGAATGCTTCAGTTTGAGGATAGAGCCGCCAACTCCCAGCTCCGAGCGGGGAGCAGGGCCAGAGTGTGGGGCTGGATGGCATCCCAGTTCCTCCTGCGTTCAGGCCTCACTGGGCGGTTCCATTATGTATCTCAGTGAGCTGTGACCTGCCCAAGCGCCCAGCCCCCATCCGTTTTTTTCCCACCCAGAGCCTGGGAGGAAGGGTTTTTGGATTATTTCACATTTCTGGATTATCCACGAGACATCTCCCCTCCAGTGAGGAGGATCAAGGGTTTGACATTTTAAACCCTAAGCAGCTTCTCCCCAGCCTGCTTCAGATCTGCGGCTCTGCGCTTGCAGGAGGCGCACAGGGAATGGAAGGCCATTTTAATCTTGGCTTGGCTTCACTAGGAAGAAAAATATGCTGCCAAAAAAAAAGTTTGGTCCATTGTCTACGCCATGCAGGGTTGCAAGAGCCCAAGAGATTATCAAAGTCAATTTCCTTGAACAGACAGGGAAACAGAGGTGAGGTGCTGTGTACGTGAGTGTGTGTTGTGCGTGTGTGTGTGTAAAAGCTTGGTCAAGGGGCATGTAGCCGGCCGGCAGCTAACTGGAGAATGGGTCCTCCCCAGTCTCCTGACTCCCACGTGCTGGCCTTTGCCACCTTCAGGCCCCAGGGGACCTGGAGACGGGCAGAGAAGGGGTAATAAGTTCCCGCTGACATGACTTTAGGACCCTGAGTCACCCTGGCCTCGAATGGCCTCCCCTGAAGCACGGACGGGGCTTTCCAAGAGCCCTGCTGTCCTCCAGGAAGAGACACCGCCGGAGGCTGCAGCAGCAGCAGCAGAGGGGCAGGATGAGGGTTGAGGCCCCAGCCCACCCCACCGCCATCCGCGTGTCTGGGCCAATTCTGTGACAAGTGTGTTATTCAAAAGGGGGATTTGGTGGACTAGTGGCTGTAGTTTTGGAAAAAAAAAAAAAATTGTTTTTTTAAATGTTTCCACCAACCCTCATTCCCTTTTACCATCTTATGGGCACTGTCCCTCTTTTATTTTCCATTTTATAAGCACAAACTCCTGAGAAGACCAAAATCACAACTCTAACTAACAAGGTCACCATGCCTAAAAAGCAAGTACCTAAATACCTAATTTTATTTAACTGGACTCTTGGGAAAGCATTTGGCTTCAGAGAAAGGACTGGCTTTTTCTAGGCAGGAAACATCCTGCTGGGAACAGGCCAGTGGGTGGCACCCTGACAGTGGGATCCCCACACCTGCTCACCACTCTGGATCCTGACCCCAAGGCCCTAACATCTCAGAACCTATCTCCGGTCAAAGATGTTGAAAACTAACCTTTGCGGGGTGCCTTTCGGGTTACGTCTGTAAAGCCTTTGTAGGATCTGTGAGCAAGACATACTGGCCACGCTCTGAGCCCACCTTTGTCACACGCACCTTAGATTAAATGCAACTCCTAGGGCAGAAGGGAGCTGAGCAGGGCTCATACCCTGCAGAGGCCCTGGCAGGTAACTGTGCAGCTGGCTTCTCCCTTCCTCTGTCTTGTGCCGGCTGATGCAAATGCCTTCCCTTGCAAGAGATCAAGTGGACACTTCCTGGGACTCAACCAGGTGCCGCCTGCCCATGACCTAGCACGGGTGACCCAACAGATACTTGATGAACCAAACCAGATGGGGCTATTCAGTCTACCGTCCTCCAGCCATTTCAACACTCCCTCTGCCATGTTCAAGCCCTATGTAGGGTTCCCCCACCCAAGTACCCATCTTCTCCCTAAAACTGTCCCCGATAGCTAACCCCAGACTCTTTCCTGAATCCCGACTCCTGTTGTCAGGTTCCCAGTCTTGTCCTTAAATCCTTCCTGCTCATCACTATCTCCCTTCCCCTTGCCAATGAGCCAATGTCCTCATCTTCCCAACCCTCTCCTGAGAACCCCCCAGCCCCCCATCTCGGCCCACTGCACCCCCATCCCCAGACTCACCCAGGAACAAAACCTCGAGGTCCAGTCGGCACTTCAGTTGGCACTACAGGGAGGTGACGGTGAATGTGTCCTCAGGGTGAGGTTCCGCCATGGGCCCCAGGAAGCCGCTCTTGGGGCCCCCACCGAGGCCAGGATGCGCCTGCGGCATAAAGCCTGGATACCTGTAGGCAGTATCCTGCAGGGGCAGCAGCGAGTCCCTCGGCACTGGGGACAGGGTCAAGTCACTAAGGAGCGGGCAGCCATAGCCAGCAGCGGCTGCAGCGGGGCCACGGGGTGGGCCGGGCGGCCGGGCCATCTCCAGTGGCTCCTTGTCGGCCTTGGGCGTGGCCGGTGGGCTAGCCAGGTGTGGGGCACTGAGGCACGCAGCCTCCGTCCTGCCCAGGAAGTCAGCTAGCAGCCCTGTACCCACCTTGCCTTCATAGGGCGGGCTGCGGGCAGCCGAGCCCGGCGGGTACCAATACGCCGTACCCTTGCAGCTGGGAGAGTCATAGTGGGGCTGGCCCAGCGGCAGGTCCCGGCAGCTCAGGTGAGCCTGGGCTGCAGCCGCGTGGCCCAGAGTAGCCCCCTGGAGCCCGTGCTTGAGGGGCTCACAGGCAGCCAGCTTTGTGGGTGGCGGCCGCAGCTCTTCTTTGAAGCCCAGTGTGGGTGAGCAGGTGGGTGAGTATGCCTTCTGCAGGCCAGCATCAAACACTGTGGGTGGGTGGGCCAGTGGCGGGAAATGCTTGCCGTCTAGCTCAGGGGCGCCCAGGCTGGGCGAATCGCAGTGGAAACCTTGGCCGAAGGTGCCATCGGATGGCGTGGACGGGTTCATGGAGTAGGGTCCCATGAAGTCACAGGGGTCTCGCTCGCCCACCCCGAAGGCCCTCGACTGTGAGGGCAGCGGTGACATGCTGCTGTCTCCGCTATAGTAGTCCAAGCCGAGGTCTGGGCTGTCCTGGAACAGCGGGTTGACCGGCTGCGGTTTGGGGATGAACTTGGCCTTGGCTGCCGCACCACCCCGCTCCTTCTTAGCTGAGCAGGCCCCACCGCCTCGTCCACCCCGTGGCTGCCGGGGTCCAGTGCTCCGCTTGGACGGGTAGCCCGAGGCCGTGGCCGAGGCCGACGACGGGAAGCCCAGGTGGGAGGCCTCAAACAGGTCCACCTTCTTCCGCCGTCCGCGGCCGGGCTTGGAGCTGCTCTGGAAGAGGACGCTCTGGTTCCAGTTGTAGCCCGGGGCGGACGACGCCTCATTCCAGTCCATCATCAGTTTCTCCAGGCTGGACAGGCTCGACTGGCCCTCACTGCTGGAGGCCTCGCTGTTGGCACGCCTGAAGCCGCCACCGACCGGCTGATTGAACTGGGTGCTGTCGGAGGACGACTCGGAGAAGGTCTCGGACACCGCCGTCTGCTGCTTCACCTTCTGGGGCGTGTAGTTGGAGATGTCCAGGATCACGTTAGGCTCGCTGACGTGGCAGTCGAACCCGGGATTGTAGAGCTGACTGAAGGCCTCCGAGGCCCAGTCCAGGCCTCCGTAGCCCTGCCGGAAAGGCCACTGAGAAGCCCCCACAAACTGCCGACAGTTCTCAGGCGAGGGCTGGAAGGAGGAGGAGGAGGAGGAGGCAGCAGAGGCCGCGGAGGCGGCAGACGCCGTGGTGCCCTTGGGCACCATGTAGCCGCCGGGCGAGACGGTGCTGGCCCGGCTGTCGCAGCGGAGGGGTGTGGGGACTGAACCGGAGAAAGGGGCACCCTCAGAGCTGTTGAAGAAGGAGGCCTTGCTGGGCGGCAGGCAGGGGCCACCGCCAGGCGCTGGGGCGTAGCCGGCACTGTGGGCGCTGCTGGGCGAGGCGGGCAGGCTGTTGCCGCTGCCGTAGGCGAAGCTGCAGTCTTTGTTGTTAGCGCAGTCCTGGCCCGTGAAGGGCTTGGCCGGGGCGAATACGCCCTGTCCGGCCCCGTAGCCGCTGTACTGGGGGGGGTAGGTGCTGGCGGGCGGGTGGGCGGTGGGTGAGCGGGCCACCGCCGAGGGAGGGGGAGCCAGCTTCGGGAAGGTCTCGGCCGCCCGGCAGTCGGAAGTGGCTGGGGTTATCCCATAGCTCGCCGCCCGGCCCGGGGGGAAGGTCTGGCGGGCGGGCAGGACAGGCTGGAAGGAGGGCTCTGTCCCAGTGCCACCGCTGCCCACTGCCACTGGGCTGGCCTTGGCCCCCCGGCTGGGGAAGGTGGCCAGGCCCCGCTGGGCAGGCAGGGTGCTGGTGGGGGGCCCCGCGTAGGTACCCGACGCCTTCCGGGATTCCGGGCGAGAGGCCGACAGGGCGAAGTCCAAGAGGTCGGAGGAGTCGTCCGAATCGAGCAGTGAGCGAAAGTAGCCGGTGAAGAGGTTCTGGCGCTCCTGGCTGAGCTCGGTCTGGCCCGCGGGGGTGCCCGTGCTGTAGTAGCCGCCCCGGCCCGAAGTCCCACTGTCCAGCCCGGCGGAGGCGAAAGCCCGGGCCTCGGTCCCCTGGAACCCGCAGTTCCGGCCCGCCTGCCCACCCGGGTGCCCGTGGTGGGGGGCCCACGCACCGCCCTTGTCCCCGGCCCACTCCGCACCCGCCTCCCCGAAGCCTGGCCCGCTGGGCACCTGCTCCGGGAACAGAGTCCCGTTCTTCCGGGATCGCCTCTTGCGTTTGGGCTTCCCGGTCGCGGCATCCACCTCCCCGCGGCCGCGTTTGCGCGGGTGCCCCAGCTCGGTGAGGCCGGGCGCCCCGATCCCGGCAGCCGCCACCGTCACCACCTTCTTCTTCTTGCCGATGCCCTCGAAGAAGTCACTGAAGGAGCATCGGGCGGCCTTGGCCGCGTGGCCCCCGCCCCGGCCACCGAAGCCGCCCGCCTTGCCGCCGCGCCGTCGGAAGCCCTGGACGCGGTGCAGGAAGTGGGAGATGCTCTGCGTGTCGGGGGCCTGGTGCACCGACTCGGGCTCGCTGGGGGTCCAGCAGCGGGGCGGCGAGCAGCGCCCGGCGCACTGGCTCTGGCGGTTCAGGAAGGCCAGCTTGGCCAGGACGTCCGAGTACTCGGCCTTGCTGTCGTTGGCGTCCGCGGCGTAGGACGGCTGGGGCGACGCCAGCTTCTGCTTCCGCCGCCGCCGCTTCTTCACCTCGGGCATGGCCATGGTGGCCGCCGCCACGGTGGCCGCCTCCGCCGCCACCACGGCCGGCTCCTTGGGCTTGCCGGGGCCCAGCAGCAGGTTCTTGGGCGGGCGGCCCCGCTTGCGCTTGAGGATAATGGGCATCTCGCCGGGGGGGAAGACCACCACCACGTTGCGCCCGTTGTTCTTCATCTTCAGCAGCGGGGTGGGCTCTGTGGACACCCGCAGGCCCAGCTCCTTGCCCTCCACGCTCAGGCTGCTGCTCAGGGACGACACCTTGTATGTGGTCTTGTTCCGCCGCCCCAGCGACACGGGGATCTTGGCCATCTTCACCACCATGCGTCGGACGCCTCGGCACTTGCCTTTGCGGGGAGGGACGACCGGGGTCTGGGAAGATTCTGGCTCCAGCTCCGGGACTGGGCCTGGGCCTGGCAGGGCAGGGGGTGGCGGCGGCGGCGGCGGCGGGGGCTCGGCCCCTGTGCTTCGGTGTTGCATCGCCGGACCTAGCTCTCCCAAGCCTGCCTGTGGTGGCCCTCCGGGCGGCGGCGGCGGGGGTGGCGGCGGCGGCGGGGGGGCGCTGAGCGCCGCGGGGGTGATCCGGGTGCCAGCTCACAGGCCGCTCGCTGGAGCGGTGGCCCACCCGCAGCCTCTGGCCACCGGCTTGCCCACGGTGCCCTCTGTGCCTGCCGTGCCAGGCGTCAACAACCTCACCGGCCTCACCTTTCCCTGGATGGAGAGTAACCGCAGATACACAAAGGACAGGTTCACAGGTGAGTCCGGCCCGCGCGCGCCCCGGCTGGCCGCGGCCCGGGCTCTGCGCTTCCCTCCCCTGCCCTGCGGCTCCCCGCGAACCCTCTGCGC